CAAAAAAAAAAAAAAAAAAAAAAAAAAAAAAAGAAAAGAAAAGAAAAAAAGAAAGAAATGTAACCCATAAAAGTATAAGAAACTATAGTAAAAAGGCTAAAAGGAGAAAGAGCTATTGAAGTCAAGTGGACTTAGAATGAGAAAAGATCTAAGTGAAACATTGGACAAAAGCTCTATTAACTCATCTTTATAAATTACTGCTTTCAGAGATAGCAGAAGCCAGAATCAAAGCTGTTTATGGCTAAGAGCTTGGGTAACAATTAAGGAGAGATAGTATCACTGACGAAGTGAGAAAAAAAGAAGGCACTTAAAGAGCAGAGGCATCTAATTTTAGATGTACTGAAATTTGAGGTAAAGGCTCATTCCCCTATGGAAATCTTCCAACAATAAAGCAGAGACACAGAATGAATTACAGGATATGAAGAACTGGGATTCATCCACAGAGAGCTAACAACTAAAGCCATGGAAAAAAAGAAATCCAAGAGAACTGCCCCCACAACTAAATCCCATCCTCCCTACCAACTATGAGTGCTGAGAAGCACATAGTAACAAATACATGATGAACTGAGAAAGAAATGTTAATAAAATGAGCTATTAAAGGACACAAAAAGAGTGACAAGAAAGATAAAAAAAAGATACAAAAGACAAAAAGAACCACAGAAACAAGGAGAGAAGAATGGTAAAGAGAAGCTAATCAATGGTAAATGAATGCAGAAGAATGAGTCCAGGAGGATGAAGGCTCAGAAACTGTTCTCAACGCTAGGACTGTCCCATGCTGACCAGAATCAAAACGGACTAAATACTGAGAGTCCAGTAGGCATATCAGCCACTCTTGAGTCCTACATAAGCTATGGCCTCCCTGACATGATTCTATTCCTTTTTTCATTCAACTAACTCTTCATATAGATTTGCTGCCTTTCAGTAGAACATTAAGTTTTCTCCTCCTGAATTTATAAAATGTTATATTAAAGAATCTGAATACTGCTAAATATAATTAGGGAAGAGAAGGAGGAACCAAGAACAGGGTTAGTCCATGTGAACTGGAGGTGAGCCCTTTTTCCTTTGGTCAAATAATTTAAAATAAAGTATCTGCTAAAATGTTTGTGAATTCCTTCTCATGATAATTTCAAACAACATTAAATACATAAGCAAATGAAATCCCAAATCAATTTACTTAGGATAAAAAAAAAAAGAAAATAACACACTCAAAAAAATGAGCTCAGATTAACTTACTACTGCATATAATACTGATGAGCATACATCTGTTGCCACCACAGCATCTGCAGTGGGCTAAATGCGGGGTACACTGGGAATCCAGGTGGAGCAGCTTGCCCAGGAAACTGGTTGTCTACATTTCTGCAAGAAAAAAATAATGAGCTCTTTCAATGCTCTAGCAATTAAAAGTGTTATTCTAAATTTTCATTTCTCAATCCCAAGTCAACCATTGACAGAATATATTTAAATCTCACTGAAAAAAAAAAAAAAAAAACTTATTTTCAACAATTCTTCAAACAAGACACTATATCTTTTATAGGTTGACCCTGGGCCCAACTACATAGAATAACTAACGTTTCAGCCCAGTTTTAAAGGGAAAACAAAGAGAGACACTCACAAAATGTAAAGCCAATCTGAACATTTATTATCTTCTCATTTCAGCACAGAAAGCCAAAATTACCTTCATTTTAAGTACATTCTCCTAAGAAACAAAGCCCTAAAATAAATTTCATGACAAAATATTTTGCGGAATGGGGAAATAGACAAATGATATTTTATATAATAAAATGTTATTAAAATACAGCAGCTATTAGCTGTAAAATAAAAAACGGACATTACAAAAACCTGTAAAATATTCTTTAAAGATACAAGATTAGCAGAATATGTTCATGTATACATTCTTAAAGTAGGTTAAATTTTACAGTATTTCTTTTTATTTATTTTATTTATTTTTTCTTGAGATGGAATCTCGCTTTATTGCCCAGGCTGGAGTATAGTGGCGTGATCTCAGCTCACTGCAACCTCTGCCTCCTGGATTCAAGCAATTCTCCTGCCTCAGACCCACAAGTAGCTGGGACTACAGGTATGCACCACCACACTTGGCTAATTTTTTTGTACTTTTAGTAGAGACAGGGTTTCATTGTGTTGGTCAGGCTGGTCTCAAACTCCTGACCTTAGGTGATCCGCCCACCTCGGCCTCCCAAAGTGCTAGGATTAAAGGCATAAGCCATCGCACCTGGCCAAATTATATTATTTCAATAAAACTTGTGGAAGGTCACACCTAACTTCTCTATACTTCGGTTTTCTCACTTCTAAAATGGACCTAATAATAGAATCTTCCTCACAGGATTCTTACCCTGTATTCAGGAAATGTTAGTTTTATTTTTACTTTTCCCCATTCCAACACTGAACATGATGCCAAAGTGTACAATGTGAGATTTGTAGAAAATCACATATATCAAGGCAACTACAGCGATAAACAGATAAGTAAATGCAGAATTATTTGTGAATTTGCTAACTCTTTTTCACATTACTTGAATTTTATCTTTAGCTGATACTAGTTTGGTCTATCCAGAGTGAGACAAGAATGATTAAATTCATTAACTGTAATTTTATATTCTAAAGACTGTTTATACATACAATTGGTAATAATTATAAAAACCTAACTTAGAAGAGCTTGGGGAGCTCAGGCTTATCAATAGGCTGTATTTAAGAAAACCGGGTGCTAGGTAAGGCATCACCTTCCCCACATATTACCTGAACTTTCCTCATTCCTTATTTCCTTATTCTTGGTGGAGCACTGGGAACCATATAGTGTCCCATCCTCAAAAGACCCTTCAACCTCCCAGTATTTTATATATACAGCTAGTGCTCGACTTACAACCACGATTGGGTCCGACAGACCGGTCATAACACGATTTGGTCGCAAGTTGGGTAGGCTATATGCACGCGGAGATGGTAGTGCTGCCGGAAGCTGGTCCGCACTGTTGTACGCCCAGCTGGGCAACGTTTGTGCTGCCAGACGCGGAGCAGTCGTGGCTAGCGATTGTGGTCGTAAAGTCGAATGGTCGTAAGTTGCATCAGTCATAAGTCGATCAATACCTGTATATATAAAGCTTTACCCCCATTTTATATATATATATAATATATATATATTTTTTACACCCAAGCTTTACCCCCACTTTATATATATATAAAGTGGGGGTAAAGC